CTTCACCTCTTATTAACAATTTATTCTAGTTAATTAATATCTCCTTTACTAATTACATATTATAATATTTGATTTATACTATTAAACAATATCATCCTTATACACAGTATTGTTTAAAAACAACCTATATCAGATATATTGTTTTGTAATTTAAATCTTTCTTGAATGTTTTGAGTATTTTTTTCTGAGTTATATTGGTACTTATAAAGTTGCAACTAGAGTATATAATGGGTCGGGTTTAACCCGAAATTTTGCAGGTCGGGTCTAAATTTTAGGCTCGCTATAAATCAGGTCAGACTCGGGTCAGGCCTAATAAAATATCAGGTTGGGTTCGGGCTCTGTTAATTGACCCGCAAAAACCCAATAAACCTATAACATAATACATTGATGTTTTGTTAGAGTTAAATTCAAATATATATTGACTTCGTGCAAGTTGCACGATGTCAATAGATATATAATAAATGTTTTCTAGAGGTTGGAATATGGCCAAATTATTTTAGAGAAACCTTCTAAACCCAACCTTCTAAATGCACTCTCTAAATGCACTTTTCTTATTGATCTCTAAATGTGCATTTATAAAGGTTGGTCTTATAGAAATGTTTATCTGTATTAATCTATTAATATACAATAAATTACTGAGGTGAATCAAGTTTAGTGATGAGATTCAGGTTTAATATTTAAAGAATGGTTCAGTTTGTAAAGTATGTGAGGTTCTATTGAATCAGATGAGTTTAGGGTGAGAAAACATAAAATTAGATTGTCGGTATATAAGTATGCATATCTGATATAGTATATTGGTTTAAGATAGTAAACGTTAACCATATTGTAAGATAATGGATAGATTAGTCCAAATTCAGCAGATCAAGGTCTGAAATAGGCCGGAATAGATAATTTTTTTAAATTTACTCAAATTTTCACTAATAAATCTATATATTAAGTAAAATTGTTAGCTATTAATTTTGTTATAGTATAGTTATCTAGTATTATATTAGTATTATGCTTAATGCCGACCTAGCTCTGGCCTATTCTGATCCTAAATTTTTGCGTGACTAATCTATTCTAAGATAATCGAGTTAGGTCGGGTTTTGAATTAACCTGACCCGACCTAGGCCAGACCCATTATAAAATTTTTTGTCAGGCTCGGACTCGAGTCAGATTTAAATGGGCCTGGGTCGGGCTTAAATAAACCTGATCCAACTCGACCCATTAAAAACCCTAGTTGCAATTATACATACCACCAAAATAGGTTTTCAAAAAACCCCTATCTCGTCTCTATTAGAGCAATTTGGAATTTTTTATATGCAATAGCAAATTTAATTTAGGTAGTTATGTTCTTTATAATTTCATCTCTTCAAAAAAAGTGTCAAAAAATTTCTTCTTTTAAGTAAAATAGGTCAAAAACAATTTTGTCTTCAAATTTTAATTTTGTATTCTGAAACCTAAAATAATTTCGTCAGCATGTATAGTTGCAACAAAATTAAACTATGAAAGTTAATATAAAAGTGTTTTAAATTTTCATTTAAATATAAGATAAACTTTTAAGATTGTCTTAACTGATGACAATTTTTAGCTTCTTATACAAGTAAATATCTGGCTTTAATGTCTTATTTATTTTAGCCTAGAAAGGTTACCATAGAGGATTTTTTGGGATAATTAAGGGTAGAAGATACTGTAGATCATTTTTTATATGATATGCATGGCAAATTAAGACCTTATATAGATATAAAAATATGCTACTAATAAAAATTTTTGAAAATTCAATTAATTTTTATTTAAATTTTATAATTTTATAGATTAAAACATGCTCTTTCTAATGATATAAATTTTAATAACTATATTATTTTAATAAACCATACTTGTATATATCATGAAGTTGCTGCAATGACCTCAAATTTGCTGGGATTACACAAAATCGTTAATTTTGATTAGTTATATCATATAATCATCATATGATTTTTATAAACAATAAATCAATACTCAATCTTTAAATGCATATTTTTCAGTGAATATCTAACCAATTTTAATAATTTTACTACCATTAGAATCAGAAGAACCTATTCTACAAATTTTATTATAAATTTTAAAATAACTTACTTAATAAAATTTTCTTTAATTATAAAAAGAAAAATTTTTGCCTTCATAATCATATGAAAATTAATTTAGTATCCTCTACCTTTAAAATTAGATATCTTGAACTACATATTTGAAGCCTTTTCAGTTTACTAACTATTGAAAAAAAATTTTCAAAATGTATAACATTTGTGAAAAAAAAACCACATGAGAGCCAATCACATCCAAGAATTCACTTGTAGATCATTCTAGAATGTGATTTCTTTATTTAATAAAATCTCTGACTAGAATTAGGGGATACCTAAAGTGGAGGCAAATCATGTGATCAACTATCAATCAAATTATAGAATTTTGAAGATCACTTGTGAAGCAATAAAAACCAAAAACCTAAAAAATACAAAAAATAACAGTCTGGACCTACCTCAAATAGATTAATCAAAAATGTCAGGAAGGCAATTTTGCTTGTATATAGCTACTTAAAACCTATCTAACCCTAATATAGCAGCATTTGATTTAGAATATAAAATTTTATTTAAACAAATTTGGACATATAAAATTTTAGAGTATTGCTAATTATACACAGGGTGTTCGTACACAGATATGTTAATATGGAGGTGAGTCAGTAGAAATGCACCAAATCTTTTTTTAATAAAATTTTTTTGAATCTTTAAATAAAAATAACTCAAAAAAAGCTTATCTAAATTTAATACAATTTTTTAAAAATAAATTCTACAAGTATATAGAATTAATTTAAAAAAAAATTTTATTAAATTTGTTTAAATTATTGTTGAGTTATTTTTGTTAAAGATTTAAAAAAAATTTACGTAGAAAAACTTTGGTGCATTTCTACTGACTCACTCCCATATCTCGAAATTTTGATTATGAAACCCATTTCGGGTGTTTTAATAAAAAAGATCTCTGCAAAATTTTAGCATAGATTATGACCATTTCTAACCCTAAAGCTAAACGTTTAATTTTTGGCTTACATTTATATGTTACACAAAATTGTAAATCAATTAATTAATACCCGTGTACAAACACACTCCATGTTTACTTAGTAATTTTCAAAATTTTATATGTCCATCCAAATAAAATTTTTATTGAACATAGTCCAAATTCAAACACTGTAATATAGGATGACTCTAACACTAAAGTAATCGAGAACATTATTAAGAAATATGAGTGCCTCCGCTTTAGACGTCCCCAGAATTAGGCTGATTTTTCAGTTAACATATCTCCCATGGTGGTCCTCTGGCAAAATGAACATATAAACAAATTATAGCCATTTAGAAACCAAATTAAATATAGGTTATGCTATTTAATTGTTAAAAGTTTAATTCGTTCTAAATTAATTTTCTGTTAGCATCACCTCCCTCCCTTTTGGTAAAATAATATATTTAAAATATAAATTACAAAAAAATAAAATAAACTAAAAAAAATAAAATAAAATAAAAATTAGAACATAATTGGGCTATCCGAAGTTAAATCTTCCCTTCCACAGAAAGTTAAGCAACCAATCAAAATGCTAGATAACTTTCTTTAATCACAATTTTTAACAATTTATATTGACCAATAAAATTTGCCTGTATGCTTTGCGCAACAAAATGTGTTAGTTTAAAATCTTATTGCTTATTATTAAGCAAAAAAAGAGGAAATTTTTGTGGGTATCGAGTTCTCTTCTATTATCATATTGTTGTGCCACTGTTTTAGCTGCTTTTTTGATCTGTATTCAACTCGAATAATTTTTAATGCCGCAAAGCAATAATTGCAGTTAATTCTATTTTAATTAGATATTGTTATGACAAAATGTCGTAACTAACTTTAGTACAGTACCAGCATTATTACGAAATACGTGTTATATTTACTTTATTAGACTTTTGCACATGATTACTACATTTTTTATGCATACGAAATGATCACAAATGTTACTTTATTAAACTTTCGCATATACTTTAGTATCTACTATTACACTTTCGCATTGTTAAAACAATTACCTTATTCTTGCGTAATGATTTTTTTAGCTTAATTGAGTCTAATGAATAACTATAAGACTATAAGTAGGGTTATTCTTTGTAAATCAAAACAGATTCTCTTTTGCTCAATCGAAATAAATAAGAAATACTTTTTGCTCTATTGTTACTAATAAATATTTAATGCTTGCGACCAACAGTTAAATTGGCAGTGCAACAGTAAAGGTAAAGTCTCTCCCTTGTCGTAACAATATGTATTCAATTACGAGATTCATAACTATGGCAAAATTGCAGGTCATTTTACCAGATTTAAAATTGGTTTGTTCTAGATCTAGCTAAATGATTTGCAAATTTGACCAGAATTATAAATGATGGATTTTTCTATTTATCAGATGATGCAGATCTGCAAATATGATTTCTTAAGCTCATGCAATAATAACTATTTATTAGCAAGAAAATTAAAAATCTGGCATCGGTCATAATTTTGACCGGTCGGTTAACCGCCTCTGACTGGTCAATATCGGTTACGATTATTGACCGGTCATGACCTGACCGAACCCATCCCTAATTGCTGAGTTCACTGTTGTTCAAACTACTTACGGTCGGGAGTGTGTGATCAAAATTGATATTAAACAGAACAAAAAGTGATCACTACAATATTACTTATTGTAAAAAAAATCTTATGTATTATTAAAGAAACATACAGTAGTTGAATAGCTATGCGTAGAATATATAAAATTTTTCGGTTTAGTCAAAAAGAATGTGTGGACCACGAGCAAAAGATAAACCAATCAACAAATAAGCAAAAGGCAGTTATATATGGAAACAAACTGTGATTCACTTGTAAAAAATAATCTAGTGAGTTAATAAAACCTTTCGGTTGATTACCAACACTCGTGATTCTAAAGCTAACTACTTAAGAAATCTTAAGAGGATCTTCAATTTTGATTGGTGCATATTTCACGGTCCTACTTGGGTAGTAGAGTTCTTTTTAGATCTTAAGGCATAAACAGTATGAACTAATTTTATTTTTATTTTGTCCATCAAGTTCATCACTGGATATCAATCAGAAATAATAATTTTTCGTAAAGAAGTATTTGTAAAGTGTAATTACTGAATTACTGCAAACATACAATATAGCATTACGGCATTCTTTTGCAATCGTTAGGTGCTATGACGTAATGGTATAATGCCATATTTCAATAATTCTATAATGCTATAATCTTGAATCTCACATATATATCAAAACTTGCATAAATATAAATAATTCAACTTGTGCTTTAACATAAAAGAGAGCTTTTTGCTAAGTATATTTAATAATACATTGTTTTTTTTTCAATTAATTAAATTTTGGTCATAAAAAAATGTAAAAAGTTACGCTCTTTTATTTTTATAATTAGCGTTTAGATAACATATTTATATAAATATCATGCGTCTACAGTATCTTTAAGATTGGTTGATAAGTTGCATTTTGAAGAAAATATTAATGAACTGTTGTGAAGTTTTAAAAATCAATTCCATTTAAATCTTAGAACTAATTCATTTGGTACCATATTCATTTTACTATATTAGCATCTATAATAGCTGCAATCAGTATTATGGCCTTTGCTTCCATGGGTTCTTACTTGATTATAATCAGCCATGCAACTGGATGAAGGGTAAAATAAAATTGCAACATTAATACCGCGAGAATTGATACAATCATTATGGAAATTCTACTTACACCCAACAAAATTTATATCCACATTCAAGTTTTTTACACGTTGTATAATTACAACTATCATTTTTTTCAACTTTACTCGTACACTTTGGGCATAATTTTAGTTGATTCACATATGATTCGGAAGCATCTTGAAGAGTTGTTAATCCTTTTTGTTCTTCCTTCTGAAGTTTTGTTAATCTTTTTTCCTCTTCTTTCTGAAGCTTTGTTGATATTTTTTCTTCTTCCTTCTGAAGTTTTATTAATCTTTTCTCTTCTTCCTTCTGAAGTTTTGCTGATCTTTTTTCTTCTTCCTTCTGAAGTTTTGATAATCTTTTTTCTTCTTCCTTCTGGAGTTTTATTAATCTTTTTTCTTCTTCTTTCTGTCGTTTATGTTCTTCTTTCTCTCTTCGCCTGCGCTCCTCATCCTGTCGCCATCGCTCCTCATCTTGTCGCCTACGTTCTTCATCCTGTCGCCAGCGTTCTTCACACTGTCGCCTGCATCCTTCATCTTGTCGTCTACGTTCCTCATCATTCTGTCGTCTGCGTTCCTCATCTTGTCGCCTGCGTTCCTTATCCCGTCTATGTTCTTCTTCATGTTCCTCTTTTCGTGTGCATTTTTCACACCAGATATCAATTGGAAGGCCATGAGCAGTACAGGATTTCAGCCCGCATGAATTACAGGTCATTATCGGAGCCTTGTCTGTAAGGAAGCAGATTTAAATGTAGAGGTGAGTCAATGCTGTTTCACACGTGCACATTAATGCATATGATTTCGTTTCATGCGCATGATATCTATCCCATCAAGATTTTTTTTTTAGCTATAAAAAAATTATATATGAGCAAAATTAAATTTCAATATGCGTTACCCTCATGTATTATATAAACCGATTAAAGGAATATTATAAAAAACTTTCTTTGTTATCTTGATGGGTTATCCTTTTTTTGTTATGCGTATCATGCAATATCATGCGCATTAATACGAATTCATGAGCATGACTCTGAAAAGTGTGCATTTTCCCCATCTCTATATGGACGAAATGCCTATAAGACGTATTAGCCAAATATTTAATAAGTTTACCTCTATTATAGTGGCTCTGCCACGATTCATAGTTTGGGTTTAGATACCGTTGAAATGTAGGAATTGGTGACGATGCAGAATTTAGCATTAATTGTTCATATCTATTACAAAGACTATTATTAATATTTTATAAAGAAAGATAAAAATTTATAAATTATAATAAACATACTGTTGGAATATTTTCTCACTTGCAAATCTTTTTATATTTTCCTCACTTAATATTTCGTTGCATCCGGGTGATGGGCACGAAATTTTGAAATTTCTATTATTTTCAATTTCGTGCTTTATATATTTTTCTACGCATTCACAACATATATTACTACCGTGACTACACTTGTTTGTAATCTTCAAAAAGGCTTTTGTCTCAATGTCTTCCGTGCATATAGTACATTCCTTTTTTAATTCTTCTTGTATTGTGGAAGTATCATGGAAAATAATTTCTTTAGGAATACCCTCATTGTATAAATATTCATAACCATAATTAGAGCAAAAGCTAGAATTTGCAATATTACATCGCGCACGGAATTTCAGGTGTAAAGGTACGTTTGACATTTTGACGGTTGAAAATTCAAAATAATATAAGACTTGCTCATTAGAGAGGGTTTGTAATCGTTTAGCAATTATTACACTATTATCGGTAATCCAAGGTTCAGTAGTGTATTCTATTGTCACTATTGTCTCTTCGTTAGAAGTTTGTACTGTCTCTTCGTTAAAAGTTTGTACTATGACTTGCCCATAAAAATCTACCAAACCTTCTCTTTCACCTACAACTTTTATAGATTTTATAATTATGGACATTTTAGAAAATTGTAACTTATTCGAATTTATGTTAATATGTGTAAGATTCTTTCAAGTATGTGTATGAATTCGCAGATAAGACCCAATGTACCAATTTAAAAATCAATAAGGTCTACTGCTACGATATTTATTAAAAAAAAAAAAAAAAAAATCTTAAGTGGACATTAAATAGCCAAAAATTATCTTTATTTAGAATATTCTACGCACTATTCAGCCGTCTTATCCAAATTGGAATAAATTAATCCAATAACGATAATTATTTCACAACTGGACTCATATGTCCTATGATCAGATATGCACATATCGATACTGTACGGTACATACGTACTGTACGTAAATAAAGCACAAATTTTTCACTGAACATTTAAATTTTTTAATTTAAAGTATCAAAGTTTCTAATCCGTATACGTAATTGTATTTAAATTTGATCAAGATTGATTATTTAAGACACACATAGTGCAAGAGCCTAGAAACTGAGTTACGTTAATGTAATGTGTAAAGAAGTGCGTGCGCAATCAATTCACCGACGGTCAATTCAATCGTCAATAACTAAATTTAGTATATTTCCTGATCCGAAAGAATTTTCTTATTTTTGCGAGTAACACAAACTCAAAAGGAAATTGATAATTGTACGTACGTGTACGTTGAAGAAAGCGAAAATACTCTGAGATCTGGATAATACAGATACTATAATATAACACCATACTTTATGCTAACTCTAACTAAACCTTAATAATTGATCCGACTAACTAGGGTCAATGAGTACATTATGGACAAATTCGCTAAGTATATATATACTAAAGGCGATAAGTGCCATAAGCGCTATGTGTAAGTTGAGCTTATACTAGGAACGGAGTGATATGTAAATATCATGAAGTGTATGGTTATATGGTATTTTTAATGATGTATGTTAACAAAATCTTATAGCTGATTTGATGATGCGTCAACTGTGAAAAATTGTGTTTAAATTATGATGTATGTATAACATCCCGTAAATGTTCGGAACGGTGTCGATTTTCCAAACAAAAAAATCGGATAATTTCAAATGATTCCAAGAAATTTTTTTATAGGGATTATTAAAGCGTATATTTTAAATTTGCGGGTTAGACTGGTTTTATCTCATTTAATAGATGTTATTTTATTGGTGCTTTCTGTTCTATTTTTGAATTTACGCTAACCAGATATGTGCATTTTTATCGGTAACAAAGTTCGTAAACCACTTTTATTTTAGATTACCTCACTATAATAAATACTTAGTGTTAAAGTCTGTATGTTATACTGAGTTCGAGCAACTCAGTTGATTATGCTATATATTGGAAAATATGTTTGCTATTGTCAAAGATTCTAGCGTAATGTTCGTACAATCTGTTCTATTATAAAGTGTGGTACTCTTAAGATATGAGTGTTGAATTATTTTCTGTATGGCTAGTACATTGCCTGATAATTAATTCTAACCTTACGACACATTTGCGGAATTAAGCAGACAATTGGTCACCAACTCCAAGCATTTGGACTCCGAAATTAAATTTTAGTTACCAAATTATATATTATTAATCAATCAATGGTAAACCTCGAAAATTTTTTTGAACCCCTGATCTGTACCGATAATGCGTCTAACCCGTCTTCCCCACAGGCTAACCCATCTTTCCACACGCGACGCATTTTTTTGGACATATGAATTATTAAAATGACGCATCATAACTTGGGAAAGCACTCCTTGAATGTGGACTAGGTTTGTGGCGCAGATTTACTGAACTACGAATCATATTTCTCGAAATTCTACATAAGAAACCACTTTTGGTGTTCTAATAAAAAGTTTTTTGGGGGCGTTTTTACTTTATAAACTACCCTCTAACCCGTAACCCTAATCCCAACTCTAACATAAATGAACATTAAAGAATTTTTGCTGCGCCACAAACCTAGCACGTAATGCCTTGGGAAACGTTGATTATCTCAGTTCAAATCAATATTTACATACCGGTATTAGTGACCAAAATTTTCAAATTTTGGAGTAGTTTACAAATGCGCCGTAAATTATATGCTAAAAAAGAAAACCTTTCATAATACCTTAAAATGATATGGTTAATAGGCATTTGAAATGACGTTTGTCGCAAAATCTTATGTCACATTGATCAATGCATGTTGCGGGAAAAAAGAAATTGTGCGCGATGTAACGCTATACGTAGATAAAGTTAATGGGGAAAAGATATATCAATAAGGGTTGTTTCAATTTCTATGATTGTATTTTTTTTTTTATCAACAACTTTGATAGATTACGAACTACGTACATGAATTTAGCATTGCCATTTTCTTTTTCCCGTATAAACAATACAAATCAAATATATCTCTCTCTTTGCAACTTGTCATTATAAAAATTTTGATCTGAAATTTTTTAAATAAACTTTTATAATACTAACTAAAATATAAATATTTTTATTTTTATTACCAAAATTTTGAATTAATTTAATAAGATAATTGATGAAAAATTGAGCTTAAAGTTTAGAATTTAAATTTTTTTTTTTAAATATATCAGTTTTTCGAAAATCGCAATAACTTAAAATTTTGTTTACAACCACCTTTTGCGTTCTAACAAAACAGCTTCCTTGCAAAATTTTAGCATAGTATATATCAATGAATTTATTTAAAATTAACCGGTGGTAAATAGAATTTTAGGGTTAGGGTGCAGTTTTAGGGATTTTTTTTTATATACAATATAATGTAGAGTAGATATAAGGTCCCGATTTAAGTTTCAGGGGTCCTGAACATTTTTACTTAACCTACCAGACCCTGTTTCATAGTGTAGTTTTCGAGATATAGCACCCTGGTGAATTTTCACCTCCGGTGAGCGTTAAAATACACCTATTTCAATTAGACCTTTATACTGCTTCAATGATACTTCCATTATTTGATCGAAAAACAGGATTTTTCTTCGTCCAATAGGAACTATGGGGAGAAATTATAGTAGTGATGGGATCCCTTGCGATATCTAGTAGCTCACCCACAAAATTTTCGGCACGTGATTTTTAGCCAATTAAATCGAAAGATCAGGTGTAATGTCACACAAGGAATTCACCTCTTATTAGAATCCCCGTGACTATACGATTATAGTGTAAAGACTACAATCTTATTAATTTGGCAGAGTACAATAGCGTCACTTAATGACTTAGCAAAGAGGTTTTATAAAGGCTTTATCGAAAGAGGCAGACGGCTAAGTGTATATGAAGATACACATAGTCGGATGATATTTATTAGTCAATTAAGTGAAAACATTATTTAAGAGTAGGGTCGAAGTCTTACAATGAGAATATGGTCTAAAGTTAACACTAAGGCAAAAGCCAGATCTATATATACATATTTTAAGAACTACGATATACAAGCTATAGACATTTCTAATTGATACTATCGTTACCCGAAACTAACTAATTATCTCATAAGTATCCTGTATGAACTTAGTATGAAAAGATCCAAAACGATATAGAGCAAAATAAAGTTAGTAATGCATCTATCATACATCATTCACGTGGATTAGGTATTTATAGGTCACAGGTATTTTACAGTGTAATTTTCAATGTAACAATTTCTCCCCCGCTGAATTTTGAGCTTTTGCGATTAAATTCCTTCTTCACAACAAATACTGACTTGGAATATTCCACAAGGATTGCTCATGTTTCTTGCTTCCTTTCTGTAACTATCAATTTTTTTACGATTATAATAGATAGATGATTCTTTATATATTATTACTTGACAAATTTCAAACTGATTCTCTTCCTAATATTTCCATTTTTTGGCATAGTATCTATTTTCCACCAATACCAGGCTACAGTACACGACTTACTGGTAGGTTGACCAAAATAAAATAAAATATTGGATACACTTTGACATCTCAATCGATGCGGACATTTCTTTACTTATTCCTGTTCCTAAGTGGCTACATTATATCCATCCAGTGCTTCTTTAAGTCTTATTTGGCATGCGATATGGATGTATTCTTAATTCTTGCTATCCTTATTACAAAAATTCTAAAGTTTTCTGTTGCACAGTACTTATTAATCCTCACCAGTACCAGGCTATATTAGTGATTTACACAGGCAAAAATTATTTTTGAAACTCTTAACTATGCACAGTGCTTATTAGTATGCACCAGCACTAGGCTTCTAATATGTGGCTCATAGATACTCGAGTTCAAAATTCTTAATATTCAATTGTTTTTTTTTTTTTTTTTTTTTTTTTTTTTTTTTTTTTTTTTTTTTTTTTTTTTTTTTTTTTTTTTTTTTTTTT